CTTTTTCTGCATCTATTGAGAGGATCATATGGTTTTTGTCCTTGACTTTGTTAATATAATGTATTACATTCACTGACTTTCGTATGTTGAACCACCCTTGCATCTCTGGAATAAATCCGACTTGGTCAGGATGGATGATCTTCTTAATAATCCTCTATATTCTGTTCACTAGTATATTATTAAGGATTTTTGCATCTATATTTGTTAAGGAGATTGGTCTGTAGTTCTCCTTTTTTGTTGTATCTTTCCCTGGTTTAGGAATCAAAGTGATACTTGCTTCCAGGAATGAATTTGGAAGTATAGCTTCCCTTTCGATTTCATTGAAAAGTTTGAAGAGTAATAGTAGTAGTTCTTCTTTAAATGTCTTGTAAAATTCAGCAGTGAATCCATCAGGGCCTGGACTTTTCTTTGTTGGTAAGTTTTTAATTACATTTTCAATTTCACTGATTGTGATTGGGGTGTTTAAAATGTTTTTATCTTCTTTGTTCAACTTTGGTAATTCATAAGTATCTAGAAATCTGTCCATTTCTTCTGTGTTTTCCATTTTATTAGAGTACAGGTTCTCAAAGTAGGTGTTCATGATCCTCTGGATTTCTTTTGGATCTGTTGTGACTTCGCCTTTTTCATTCCTGATTGCATGGATCTGAGCTTTTGCTTTCCTTTTTTTGATAAGATTAGCTAAGGGTTTGTCAATTTTATTTATTCTTTCAAAAAACCAGCTCTTTGTTTCATTTATTTTTTGTATCATTTTCTTAGTTTCAGTTGCATTGATTTCTGCACGGATCTTTATAATTTCCTCTCTTGTTCGAGCTTTGGGTTTTTCTTGCTCTTGTTTTTCTAGGAGTCTAAGTTTCATCGTTAAGTTGTTTATTTGAGCCCGCTCTGTTTTCCTAGTGTGGGCATTCAATGTTATGAATTTTCCACGTAGAACTGCTTTCATTGTGTCCCAAAGATTCCTGTATGTTGTATTGGCATTCTCATTTATTTGTAAAAACTGTCTAATTTCTTTAATTTCCTCTGTAATCCATTGATTGTTTATGAGAGTGTTGTTCAGTTTCCATGTGCTTGTGAAGTTTCTATAGTTTCTTGTGCTATTGATCTCCAGTTTGATTGCACTATGATCTGATAATATACAGGGGATGACTTCAATTTTTTTGCATTTATTTAGACCTGATCTGTGAGCCAGTGTGTGGTCTGTTTTGGAGAATGATCCATGTGCAGCTGAAAAGAATGTATATTCTGATTTTTGGGGGTGGAATACTCTATAAACATCTATTAAGTCCATGTGTTCCAAAGCTTGGTTCAGTTCTATTATTTCATTGTTGATTTTCTGCCTAGATGATATGTCAATGTGTGATAGTGGGGTATTTAAATCCTCCACTACAATTGTATTAGTGCTTATTTGGTTTTTCATGTTACTTAATATTTGTTTTATTAAGTTGGGGGCATTTATAGTTGGCGCATATATGTTTA